ATTTCTGCAGAATTTTCAAGTTAATTCCCGGGTTAATGATATAATCCCGGTTTTTCTTACTGACGCTTCATTTTGTTATTGTCATGAGTTATATACAGCTGCTGCGGGTAGAGAGAGCTGGTGATACAGCTGCCACAGCTGCGGTATCACTCGGTCAAACTTATGCTCTTCATCACATCGAGTGCTCCTTCTGTCTCTCATGAAGATATTTCCAGAACTTTATTTTCGGCGCACCGCCTGATATTGACTTTTGCTGCTCGACCAAATCTTCGTCTTTCTCCCCTCGACTCCCTCCTTTTGGTGCTATTAAGAAAGTTGCAGCGTGGGGAGGTGCATGATGTATATACTGATGTATCGTAAATTCTGCAGGGCGGGGGTGTACATGAGGTAATGTACTGATGTATCGTAAATTCTGCAGGGCGGGGGTGTACATGAGGTAATGTACTGATGTATCGTAAAGTCTGCAGGGCGGGGGTGTACATGATGTATGTACTGATGTATCGTAGATCCTGCAAATAGAAGTACTTAGCTCTTCCTCAGCTGGAACCGACCTTCTTCCTCAGACCAGGCGAGATCGAGCTCCGTCCAAAGCATCTGTTAGATGTACAACTTCGTTCTCTTGGTCGTTTCTTATCCGGCCAATTGAAACTACAAAAAGTGATGTATGAGGCAATTTCCCAAATATATTGAGTTCATCGTTGCACATATGCTCAGCTCTGAAGGTTCTAGCAGCGATTTTTAAGCTTTTCGTGCAGAATGAATTAATTTTAGCCAATATTATTCCACCTTTATTTTTTAATGGCTTGAAAAATTATGTAAAATATTGTTTATTCTATTTAATTAATTTTTATGTATGTTTTCAATTTAAATTCAAAAACTTATTAGCAAAATTTTATTGTTATTTTATTTATGAATCGCTTAGTCTCAGTTCACACCATCGCTGAGCTGAAATATTATTCCCGTTTTCTCTCCTCTGCGCAGTCTTAACATGCGTGTGAAATGCGGGGACAAACGTTGTTTTGGTCATGTAATGCCATAGCGTTTCACACAACTCCCATGAATGACTGCCAGTCGGCAGCTGTGTCGTGAGGCTGGTAGTGTAAACACAGTGTTATCGTGAACACGAAACTGTTCACTCTACGTAATTACCGTGACTCCCTCGCGTGATGTTGCCGCCGTGTTTACCGCGTAACCACAACGCTGACAGAACAGTGAGCATGCGGCTTTGAAAACAACGATCATCAAAGAAGGTTGGGAGATTCTTCGGATATCTCCACTTTTTTAAATCCCGAATTATAAGTGGTTTAATGTTTAATACACTTACATATTATACCAGGCTCTGTTGTAAATAGATGCAGAAATGCTATATCCGTGGCCACAACGGTTGGTCACCGATAAAACCAACATATTTTTCAATTATGCTGGCGGGAAGCACTGAGGCGAGGGAAGGAGGGAAGTGAGGGGCACAAACGAGGGTGGCGGCTGATGTAGAGACGCCGTTATCTTGCGTCGAGAAGGCTACAAGCTTCGACCCCACAGAAGCCGTGCGTATAAATCTTCAATATCTTCGTGGCAAGGGTCGGAGAGTCGTCAAGATAGACCTCAGGTCCCCATGGGAGAAGGCCAGGGGCTCTTCTTTGCTCTTGGATTATTGAAATGACAGTCCGGAAGTTCCTTTATGCGTCTATTCATTTATTAACCTCATCTACAAGATTTTATTTTTATAACCGACAAAATTATTATTTTCATTTATTATTATGAAAAATAGATAGCAGTAAAGCATATCATCGTTATTATTGTTCAAGGCGTCGATCACAAGGCCCTCGTCGATAGCAACGATCAAGACGTCGGTTACAAGGCCCTGATCGTTGGCGATGATCGAGACGTCGATCACAAGCCTCCGTCGCCGGCGATTATCTAACCGTCGGTCGCGAGGTGGTTGCCATTGTCGGACCGAGTGTCGGTCAGTGTCAATTACTGCCGCGCTATTGAAGCGTTTCTAAAGGAATCAGCGTAACTGTGCCGACGTCGCACTTCACTTTACATAACGGAGCTGACAGCAGACGTCACGCTTCACGCTACTGAACAGAACTGACAGCAGACATCACGCTTCACGCTACAAAACGGAGCTGACAGCAGACGTTGCGCTTCACGCTACAAAACGGAGCTGACAGCAGACGTTGCGCTTCACGCTACAAAACGGAGCTGACTGTAGACGTTGCGCTTCACGCTACTGAACAGAGCTGACAGCAGACGTTGCGTTTCACGCTACAAAACGGAGCTGACAGTAGACGTCACGCTTCACGCTACTGAACAGAGCTGACAGCAGACGTTGCGTTTCACGCTACAAAACGGAGCTGACAGTAGACGTCACGCTTCACGCTACTGAACAGAGCTGACAGCAGACGTTGCGTTTCACGCTACAAAACGGAGCTGACAGCAGACGTTGCGCTTCACTCTATTACAAGGAGCTCACAGCCAGCGTAAGAATCTAAGGCATTATGGAGTTGAAAACTGTACCGGATGTGATCGTGAAGCAGGAAGCGTCTGAGACATTATGGAGTTGAGGAAGGTAAAAATTGAGACATGAAGATATTGTCATTAACTGTTGCCAAGAGAACCCTATATGTATATATATAAACTTTTTAATATATTTGTATATATTATTCGCAGGACCAGTGATATTTTACCTTACTGCTTTACTTCTCGCGTGTCACTTCAGCAGACTAGATAATGATAATACAATTAAACTCAGTGCAGCGGGACCTCGGAAGCCTCCTATACAGGACAACAGGATGTACAGGACCTAACGTTAGCGGGATCATCGTCCTGTGCGCGGAGAGATCGTGTCTGCGCGAGATGAAGAACATTGCTGTGCAAATGTGCCGATTGCTATCTGCATAACTGCAGGACTTGCTGTATGCTGCATTTAAACCAGCTGCTGTACTTGCTGACTCTAGATTTGGAAAATTTCGCAACCTTGATTTACGAAACTTACAATAGGAAATGCGTTGATCGTTGGTCTATTTATGATCTCTAAAAATTTTGAATATTTCAACGATTTTCTTGAGCGTCGGAGATTTTAAATTATTGTTATGATATTTTGTATTCAATTTTTCTCCACAGGTAAATACATGAGTTTACGATTGGCAGTGATTGTCAAATAGATTTAACATTAACTTGCATTGAAAATTTACCGACTGTTTGTACTGGTAGCAATTGTCCTCTTAAAAATGCTGTCAGTGAAATAATCTAAAATAGGGCTATAAAAATGGTGCAAGCAAAAATAATATTGTCGGTGTAACCGCAACCATCGACGCTGCAATCTACAGCCTCATCGTGCGACGAACGGACGTGGATGAGGAGGCCGTTCTACGACGCCTGTTAATGTGACGAAGAGTAGCTAGTTCCGGTTATATGATGCATGGAAGGACAAATGTTTAAAGCATGTGCTGGAACAAATTAGTTACATTATTATTTATTAACTAAAATATGCTGCTAGGTAGCGTTCAACATGGGTTCAACGCTTTAATTCATAACATTTTTCTACGCTACAAAATGAGACATGTTCAGAAGCTTGTTTCGATGCATCCACTACTTCATTATGTGCTTCCTTCAGATTCTAAAAAACAGAACTATTTGCCCAAATTAATATTTAAATGCTACTAGAATTATCTAAATGAATTTAAATATCCCAAAACACTTGAGAAGCTTATGTAACTATCTAACCTTCAATCTCTAAAAACGTTCATGGCTACAAGCAGCTAAGAGGCTGGCAAGGCTTTTAACTTTATCAAGTCGTGACGGCTCCAGAGATTGTCGTAGATTACGACTTGGTGCTCTTGTCTTGGTTTTAAAATTCAATGAGCAGGCCTAGAGCATAGCTAATTACAGTCCATTGTCTTCGCTGTTGCTAATCAGTGAAGAATCGCCGTTGTCCAACTATACCTATCAGTCGAGGCTCGTCGACACATCGTCCAGCATTTCAATCTGACTGCGGGACCGTTCTTCTCTTGGGCTACAGCCGCAGCCTGATTTTTGTTAACATGTCTAATTTAATCACACGGCACATCATTCGTTTTATAATCATTTCGACACTGGAAGAAATACCGGCTGAACGAACAATATTAAACCGATGTTATGTATCAAATCTCATATCTCAAACCGATATATCAAATCTCATTCAAGTATGTTCTTTTGGCATTGAGTCAAAATACTTGCGTGACAATTATATTTTATAAAGAGTTTTTAAAAGTTGATCGGATTAAACGCCTAACTAATAGATCTGTTCGTTATTTATTGAGTTCATTAAATAGAACGATTGGTAATTTTATATTCGTCTTGTAAATTTCTGTCATTTCGCACAGTTTTTTTTGGGGCAGTAGTTATTTCTTACCACACTAGTTTCTCTCCATACATTTAAATTTGATACATAGGATTGACGATGATCAAACATAGTTCTTAGATGGATTATTGAGAATACCGCGATTCGCGATGGAGGCAAATAATATGATTTAAGTAAGTTATTTGCTATGTTATCAAAACTTAAATTCGACCACGTGCATCCATGGTGAAGTTCAGCAGGCATTGATGCGTGCGACAAGCCACCGGACGATGCATCGACCGCATGTATTTTCGGCAGAGGCGATCTGCGGACACAGCGGCGGAGCGTACACGCTTCCTGCGCACTTCCGCACAGCCAGCCGGCGTCATCCGGCACCGGCCAGTGGACATCCGCAAAATGCCGGATGATACGCGGCGTCAAAGCATCCACACCGGATATACTGGACGAGCGATTATCCTTGGTTTGAACTCGTAGAGGTCGAGGTTATGAGAGAAAATTTTGGTGAAAAATTACATTTTTTCTCTTGCTGTGAGGTCATGTACCATTGCCCGAGATAAATTGTAATATATTCATGTTATCTCAGACTGGTTGTCTGCAAAATTTGCAATAGATTTTTAAATATTTAAAGCTCAATGCTGGGATGCAATCTCTTTTGATGTCAGGACTTCACTGTACGTTGGCCCCGTCGCTTACAACCCTCGCCCCACAACCCTCGCCCCACAGCCTTTGCCCTACAACCCTCGCCCCACAACCCTCACCCCATAACCCTCTCTCTACAACCCTCGCCCCACAGCCCTCGTTCACAGCCCTCACCCCACAACCCTCACCCACAACCCTCACCCACAACCCTCGCCCCACAACCTTCACTCCACAACCCTCTCTCTACAACCCTCGCCCCACAATCCTCACCCCACAACCCTCACCCCACAACCCACTCTCTACAACCCTCACCCCACAACCCTCGCCCACAGCCCTCGCCCCACAACCCTCGCCCACAACCCTCGCCCCACAAACCTCGCCCACGGCCCTCGCCCCACAACCCTCGCCCCAAGACCCTCGCCCCACAACTCTCTCCCCACAACCCTCGCCCCACAACCCTCAACCCGCCAGGCTGTGCTGCGGAGCACGCATCCTACGCATCCAGTTCTTGCGTAGATCGCATCGCCAATTTCAGCACCATTACGCTTCCAATTGACTGGCAGATTGGCCCTTGTGGCAGCCCACTCGTCTATTTCATTCAAATTGCATTGGCTCCAACCAATTGAAGCTCGCTTCTCAGACTATCCACCGCAATGAAGACTTCAGGAGATAAAACCTTAATAAACTGCTTTGAGGATCGAGAGGAATCGTCAACTTCAAAGCCCAGGTCAAATCCGAACCCATTGTTCCTAATCCATCAAGGTGGCAATCGCGCTAAAATATTAAGAAAGTATTGGGTGATTTTGCTGAACTTTATTTTTTATGCGTGAACAAAAAAATATGAATACTTGAGACGGAAGGTTAATTCATGTGAAGTTATATTCTCTCAAAAGAACGTAATGATGTCAATTATTCACAGCAGCCTGCAAGTGCCGCGTTTATGACCTTAATATAAGAGATTTTTAAACGACGCTTGCGTTACAGGGCAGCGCAGTTCGTGCATTTTTGATGGGTCATTCCATACTCATTGCACAAAAATAGATTGATTTTCACTAATAATGCATTTAGTTTCTAAACGGACAACGACAATAGTTTTCTCAACGGACAATAATGCAATAGGTTTCTCAACGTCTTATCTTTATAAATAAGAAATATTTAGTAAATACAGCAATACATACCAGGTAAATCTTATATTTATTTCAATAAGATGGATGAAATCAGTGGTTCATGAATGCCTCACATAAGCACACCTAGAAGAGATCTTGTGGCGCACTAATGAGCACTAATGAGGGGGAGGGTAATGTTAATATTCACAACGTGCAGGAAAAATTTCATTTCATTGGATTTCTTTGTGGTAAGTGCAGCAGAACGGGCACTAAATTCTTAAAATGAACAGTTTAGGTAACTTTTACTGGGAAACGCGTTCAATGTGAAGGAGACGAATATAAAATTCGCAAGTGAGTTTGCAAAGATAATGTCAAATCGCATCATTCAATATTCTGTTCAGGAATATTCATTATCACGTATCATGATGGTTATGAATTATTTTAAACGTTTTTGTAATATGAATGTAATTGAAATAATATGAATAATTTTTCTTCAACCGCGCTTTTCCCCCCTTTTCTCAGAAGTACCCGTTGAAATCTACAATAATTGCTATGATTTATTTTCCACAATCGGACTTCACTTGGTTAAAGTAATTTTCATATAGAATAGGAACGATGACCTTAGCCCTCTACCGCCTGACATGAGTAATCGGAGCAATATTGTCTCAAGCCTTCTTCCCAAAAAAGATACGTTCTAGTGAGCGCAAAATGACTTGCACTGATGGTTGCCGCCACGTACGACAACTTCAAAGTGTTCTCTGTTGCGTACAAACGTCTTCAGGTCGCAATACTCAATATAGTTTACGTTAAATTTTAAATTGAAAGTAATGTTCCCGGAGGGTGACATTCGGCGGTAGAGGGATAATTCGGATTTATCCCAACGCTTCGCATATTTCATGGTGAAGTTAAAAGAATTATATTTATTTTTTAAAATATCACCATATATTTTGGGTTTTCTGGGGAAACAGCATAGAAGGCTTGCTCCCGCGTTGTCAGAATTGTCGAAATGTCTTGCAGAAACACTCGGAAAGATTTCGTTGGAGTAACCTCATCGATTGGCACGGGCGTCATCAGGCAGTCAGTTTAGCCAATACTCTGAACTGCCATTGAGTGGCTTGGCAAATACCGCAAAAGGAACAAGCGCGATAATAAAGAAAAAACAGGAGGAATGTAAGGCAGGGCCGCTACAAAGTTGAACAAAATACTGTGTTACTTTAAAAATGAGCAAAATAAATTCGACAATGAACACAATGTCAACGTTCGAATTATGCAACTCGGGAAGCATGGTGACAGCAGCATAATGCCACGGTATGCTCTTCTATTGGTTATTTCTTCACTCTATGAAAGGTGCTATTTAATGCCATAGAGCATTGCGATTTATTTAAAAATCATCGAAGACTTTTGTAGTGTCTCCATAATAACGAATCTAGGTTCTGGATGAGGTCAGTAACAATCATTTAAGTTAACTGACACTGTATCAATTCTCTTGAATGGGTTTCATCTGATTCTGAAATGATTCAAAATGAAAGAAAATCAGAAATGATGAATGCTGGAATCTATCTTTATCCTATATAACTACTAAATTGTGAACAACTTTAAGCTAGGCAATGGTCATGCAAAAAGTAAATAAATAATGCATTAGGTGTTCCGTTATGATAAGTTTTTACGGCATTATTGAAGCTTCGACATGCATATGTGTTATGTTTTGCCCTTCTCACCCCGTTGACCGCATGTTTCTCTGCAGAGTTCCGAAAAATAACTGCAGAAATATTCGTGACATTCGCCGCTGCCCCAAAAAATGAATGTCATAAATTTTTACTTCTATGGAAGATCTCGAACACATATTGAATGCGTAGTATTTGTGTTTTATAAATTCATTGATTCTGCTTTATATGGAAATGCAATTTTACCTCAACACATCAACGTTATGTAGAAACTATGGCTCGCTTCTCTAATTTAGGAATGTTGAAGACATTTAAGATGTTTGTTGTTCAAATTTGTTCAATGCTTTGAAATTAACAAACAGGAGCTTCCCATTTAAGGTAAAACATTGTGAGGCGTGCTAGCTTTCACCATACACACTAACTGTCAACCCAGTCCTTATATATAAATAGTTATATTTAGGTCGATTCATATTCACATTCATAGAGACGCCGACATTATGGGCCTAATTCTATCAACATTAATATACAATGTCTACGAACCGATGACCTAGAGCTTGATGATCACTAATCGCTGGTTATCCGTCATGGGTGATCACACCCATCATGCAGCGCCGCGCACATCAGCGCGGGGACAGTCGAGCCTGCGCTTCGTAATGGCGCAATAACAGCGCCTGATGAGCCTGCTTCGGTTTCCGATATCGGCGACACTAGAAGTGCCCGTCAAGCGAGTGCTTGATGACGTCAACATCTGCTCACCGCTATTTTTCAAGCGTTCGACTCAGAGACTCGAGATCTGCGGACACATCACTGCTTCTTGTATTCGAGATGGTGACTCGAGATCTGCGGACACATCACTGCTTCTTGTATTCGAGATGGTGACTCGAGATCTGCGGTCGGCTACATCACTGCTTCTTCTTGCATTCGAGATGGTGACACGAGATCTACGGCTACATCACTGCTTCTTCTTGAATTCAAGATGGTGACTCGAGATCTACGGCTACATCACTGCTTCTTCTTGAATTCGAGATGGTGACTCGAGATCTGCGCCAACAGTGCCGAAGATCGTCGGTACAGCGCGGTCTCTTGCGTTCGAGATGAAATTTTCATGTTGGTTTCAGTGTCATAATGTCATGTAATAGACTATATAGGGGTCTATACATCCGAAGCTGAGAAATGGTGACCAGCCAAAAATACTGAAAATACCCTAGAATAGAATTTATTCGTTTCTTGCCAAACATTAGTTTATTTCATTAATAAAAATAGAATATAATTTCTATTTTCATGAGGAAATCCTCTAATTCTTCTTCGCTTGGATGAGTGCAGGTGCGTGATATATCGATAAATGACTGCAAATTTGAATATTGCATCTTCCTAATGAGGGTTACGATGAACAATGAAACGAAATGTGCATTGTAACGAACAAGAACATTAATAGGAAATGCAATTGTTCCCACCGTGTCATAGTATTTCTGCCGTGGTAATGAGAGCGGCCCTAGTCCAGAATTGGACTAAATTGAATTAAGAGGAATGGCCACGCGCAGAGGGATCGATTTTCGGAAAGCAGACGCGCTCGCTACGGCGAGAACAGCTCTAAATTTCTGGCAAATACTAGACAGGTTAAGAACAGCCGACGTCTGCGTATTTATTGATCTGCAGATATTGGTGATATCGAATGAAATATTATTATTAAAAACTATAATTTATTTATATATAAAATAAATAAATAATTTTCTTTATAAATATTATAATTTATTCGATATCACCCACGCGGTGATATCGAATTAAAATTAAAGGTTGAACACAGCCGGCCATGCGAGAAAGACAGTGTTCCATTAATATATTTTTAGTGCTTATTTTGTCCAAGGAGGCCAGCGTCGGCCATCTTTTGGGAGTAGATATTCCATTGATTGTGTGTGGCGCCGCGACAGCACATGCAGCCAGCCAACAATGCGTTAATAATAATAATAATAATATTAATAATAATATTAATAATAATAATATTATTAATAATAATAATAAAACCGATCTAACACTATTATATAGTATTATATCATATTACTATAATATATTAGTAATAAAAATAATAATAATAATAATGAAGAGAAGTAGAGCTGCATGAAGATGATATCGCTCTGTCATGGGTGTGTTAAACGAAAAAAAGTAATTCTAGCAAACATTTCCCTTAAGACAGTAGACACAAACAAATATTCGTAGGATCCGTGAGAGCCTAACAAGTTTAAGACTACGGTACATTCTAAATAAAAATGTTTGTGTGGAACACTGATGGTGGATTGATGGCGGACGGTGGACACCATCGATGGACCATCAATGGAGCGTTAATGGCTAGTGTCATTACATGCCATCAATCATTAATAAAACTTATATCGCGTTCTAATGATCACTTCACAAATTAAATTCTATTCCAACAATAACTTTAAGAACTTGACCTCTAACAATAAAAAAAAACCTTTCAAGGACAGGCAAATAGCCGAGACTGGTAATCTCTTAATTTGGAATGTCGTATTCCATACAAATGCATGAATGAAAAACAGTGTAGCTTACTGAATATATCTCATTAAAACTCAGCCATCGTTTCGAATTCAAAACGAAACGAGTGCGACTTAATATTACCTGACAAAAAACCTCCAGCGATCCATATACGAGCGCATGGCTAAATGTTGATGCAATATAAATTGGAAACGTATTAAAAACCAAATTTAATCATAGAAACAATTTTAGCTGGATCTCATTTATGGTTTAATGGGTAAGAGCCTGAGTTCCTTTTC